TATGCTGGCCATATGACTGCAAAAGCATCTTCAGACAGCGCTGGCTCAATGGCCTCAAAACGGAGATGAGCACTACCCCCTATAGTCGGCAACGACTAGCAGAGTAGAAATCCAGAGGAACTCCTTCCCTAAACAATCAACCCTGGAGAAAGTTCTAAAGAATGTGGGGAGAAAGTCTATCAAATGTGGGGAGGCTAGCCCATGAACTGAACCTTAAGAATATATAACAGGTAGAGTTATCTTTTTACATCACTACAGTCATATCTGCTTTTCATAACAGAGCTCAATTTCAGAATGTTTTTTCAATATTTTTTATTCAATCTAAATTCAGGTGATCAACGCTGAGATGAACACTTCATGGAAGACAGGGACATACTAAGCTGAAACTATAGGAATGTGTGAGTTGTCTCATAAAAGGAGGCATCATAGCTTGGGCAAGGAGGCTGCCCTTAATATCGTGGCTCTGACAATATCCAACAGAATTAAGCTAAGGCCATCCTATCCTCAACTTGTCCTTTCTTTGCCCAGCTACAATAAATAAATCGCATCATCAACAAGAGGCTAGACTTGTTTTCTACAAATGTTCAAGCACCAGATCTGGAAGCTAGGGTAGGAGGGAGAAAAAATCATAACCATTGCCCATGGAAATAGGGGGGGGGGTTGGTCACTGTAGAAGACAGTCTGGATTTTAAAAGTATGAAGGGTGATTTGCTCTGCTGAAAGTGATTAATTTCCTTAAAATGCTAAGGTCACACTAATTGACATGACCTGTGTAATTAAGCAGTCTCTGTTTACACATGAAAAGCTTAACTGCTGTGAGGCTCAGCTTGCCTGACAGAATGTCTTTACAAGTCAAGAGATCAACAACCTCTCTTATGTCCTACCTGGTCACCTACACAAACTTTTGATTGCTCTTCTGACAGACCACGTAAAAGCATTACCATATGAAAATCAGCTGACATCTTGGGAGGAGTTCTGAACTGGCAGCAGAACAGGTAGGTTTGAACTGGTGCTTTGACAGCCTTTAGCCTTGGCTGCTCATGCTAGATTCCCTTATCTATGAAGCAGATTTAACTGGTGGATATTCTAGAAAAATAGGCTAGGTTTAGCAAGGACGAGGCAAAGCAGGAGAAAAACTGGGGAAATACCGGTAAGAGGTCCCTAACCATTCTGCATCAAAAATTACAAACTGGGAAATGTTAAGGTCTGTGATCAGACAACAGCACAAGACAAGACAAGACAGGACAGGACAGGACAGGACAGGACAGGACAGGACAGGACAGGACAGGACAGGACAGGACAGGACAGGACAGGACAAGACAAGACAAGACAAGACAAGACAAGACAAGACAAGACAAGACCTGAGACATTACCAACTTCCAATTGCCATGATAGAAGTTGGTAATGGATCCGAGATGAATAGTAGGTTCAGGAATTAAGAATGACAATTCAATGGGCTCAATGCAAAAAGGAGGATTCCTGTGCCTGCCCTGAAGACAAGGAAACCACCAGTAGAGCTGATCAGAGATCTTCCACTGAATGAGACTAAAGCAGCAATCTGTCATTCATCCAGATAGCATATGAAGAGACTGGAGCACCCAATTGGGATGTGAAAGACACCTCCTCCTGTTTCTATTGATCCATGTAGGAATCCAACCAATCAAAGACTTGAAGACACTGAGGGAGATGGGGGCAAGATTGCATTTTCTTCATTTCCTATGTCTAATAACATGGCCCAGGAAGAGAAGCAAGAATACTGGAAATGAACAAAGTGCTACCGAGATGTTGGCAGCTGGAATGGATCTGATTTTTTGATAATGAAATATGAAATAGTCCTGACAAAAGATGAGAAGTACATCAAAGGAACTGGACAAAATGTGAAAGGCAGCTTGCAAATTCTATGGAGACTTCAAACTGAGTGCTGTGGGGAGTGCTCAAGACACCTAAGACATATAATATTAAAGTTAAATCATGCATTAAAACTGCATCAACAGCAGCTAGAATCACTAACAATCCAACTCAAAAGGCTTCAGTGAAGAGCAAAGTCATACTCTTTCCTTCAAGTCAAAGAATGTGGGAGCCAAGAGCAATTGCCAAGAAAACTTCCTTTTAGAGAATTTGACATGCCTTCAGTGTATGAGAAAGAACAATGCTCTGAAATTTATAGCATCTTTAAGACAGCATCCTGTTGAATTCAGTACTTATACAGCTTCTTACAATAAGGCACATTCTCAGATAATTGGACATTAAATCATTTACGGCTTTAAAGTGCAATGTAAACATAATTATAAGTACTATATTTATATACAACTTTATCAGGAAAACTCATAGAAACATATACACACATACACAAACACCCACATACATTTTGGTAATTTTTCAAATTATTGTCTTCCTTATCATCTATACTATGAAAATAAAAAAATACAGAGCTAAGAGATTAATCCTATGCATTTTTACTCAGAAAGCCACAGGGTTTCTTCTTGGTAACAGAGTAACCCCATATATGTCTTTGACAGAGTAATCCTATGACTAATACCTGAAGTCTTCATTCTTAATTTATCTTCTCCCATAAAACAATATTAAATAAAAGCATTAAATTATTGATTAAGAAAAATATGAGTTTCAGGCAGTCCTAACCCTGCCCCACAATTCTACTTTTGTTATATTTTATTATTTATAACATTTATATAGCTGTCCATCTTATATTGAGCTCAGATCAGGAGACAAGGTGACTATGTTTATATATCCCAATAAGATCACAATATAATGATTGTATTGTTCTATCCTGTATTATAGAGATGTATGGTTTTTAATTTCAATTTATTTATTTACTTATTTACTTATTTATTTATTTATTTGTTTATTTGTTTATTTATTTATTTATTTATTTATTTATTTATTTTTCATCTTTATTATTTTTACAAATAACTGAAGGAGAACATATCCAACACCCCTTCCTCCTCCTATTTCCCCCTATGAGATGAATTGGGCTGAGAGAGTGACTGGCTCAAGGTCACCCAGCTGATCTTCATTGCTAAGGTAGGACTTGAACTCAGGGTCTCCTGCTTTCTAGCCTGGTACTTTAACCACTAGACCAAACTGGTTCTCAAAAGTACAAACTATCTTTAAGCCCCCACCCACAAAACCCTATGAAAAAGTAAGTTTTAGTTCATATTAAAGGCTTAAACATATCTTGTAATACTACAAAAGGCAGTCCTCTGAATAAATTGCATAAGGGAGGTAAGATCTTTTCCTTGAAAAAGTTCTCTTAATATGCCAGAAACCAAAAGGGTCTATGATTTAATCACTGTAGCTGTTTTGGATCACATTACTTCATAGAAAGCCAGACGTTTTTCTGCTGGAATAGTATTATATTAAAGAAATGCAAAAACATGAAAATTAGCCAGGATTACTCAAGGGGGTAGAGGCTACCTACTTAGGAATGCTGGGTTCATATACATCTAACTCCCTACAAGGATGTCAAAGTCATTTGCATACAGGTGTGAACTGTTTATTTTGTCTAATGTATCTGTTCTACTCGGTTATATCCTCTGTTCTGTCCTGAAGAGCCTTTCCAAAGAGCCTATTTTTTTTATGTCTTGCAGATCAAGTGGAAGGATTTTAGACTAATTGCACAAGGGTTCTGATTTGCCTGCGGTCCATGAGTCAAACAATGAAATAAATTTGATTCAATCTCACTGCCTAGGGCAGCAAAACTGAGCATACTAGACTTAAATGTCTAGTGGAATTGGCCTAAATTATTAGATCACATCTTTATACATCTAGTCTAATCTGTTGTGGCCCCGCCCTCTGAGCCTGTCCCATCGGAGGAAGAAAGCTCCGAGCATGAGGAAGAGGAGTCAGCCAGGCCTCCCTCTCCAGGCCCCTCCCCTCTGGCATTGTCTCAAGTGCCAGTCGAGGGAGAGGAGACAGCTGATTCGAATCAAAGTGATAATGAAACATCATTCCTGGACGCACGCCTCCGAAGGCGTGATAAACGTTTGCAGCAGCTTGGGAGGCGTGCTAGGGATTAGAACTGAGTCACTGGACCACACCCCAGAGACTATATAATAGAGGGTAGTGGTCAAAGGATCCTTGTGACGAACAAAGCAAACCTTAGATAGTCACTAAAGCCTCGTCCGGAACTGCTGAGAGAAAGATTTAAAGTGTCGGACATTTGGACTCTTGAGTATTTATCTTTCTGTTTTTACTTTGAAAATAAAGTCACTTGGCAGACGGTGTGTCTATCGCTGCCAAGTGGAAGATAAGACCTGGGTGCGTTCCAAAGTGTTTCCTTAACCCTCGACTGGCTGTGTGTGTGTGTGTGTGGGTACGGGGACAGATCATAATCTATTTTTCAATTCTTCTAAGATCTGTTGTGTTTGTTTGATTTATATGTTGCTGTTTTAAGAATTATTTGATCCTATGCAGGTAATCCTAGCTTAATAACAATAATTAAGACAGACAACTCTGTCGCTAAGACCACGCCAACTTACAATGGCAGCTGCAGCAATTCCTGTTGCAGTTGTTAAGTTAATTCTGTATAGTCATTATGTGTTAAATCACATGATCGCCAATTATGACCTCTTGTCAACTTCTCCACTGACTTTATTGTCAGAAGTTGACCGTGAAGATCACAATTTTTATCATGTGACTGTGGGATGCTGCAAAGGTCGCAATTGCAAACCAGTCATCAAGCATCTGAATTGCAGTTGTCGGATTGCCAGCTTGTTGTCATGGCTGAAATTATGAAGACTAGTCATAAGGCCATTCAGCATTGTCCTAACTTCTAATGGTTGTTGACTGGTCAGTAAACGAGGGCTACCTGTATGGTCATTGATAATTCTCGGGCTGAAATTCTAAAGTGCTTCCCAAATGTTAGCTAAAAACTTGCACAAAGCATGCACAAATAAAATAGCTAGGTTACCTGGCTGAAATTTTTCTTAGCTCATATTTTCAAAAAGAGATTGATCAAATAGGTAGGAAGTGTCACTAACCTGAAATCTCCGCATGTCTCGAGGATTTCCTGCATTTTTTAAGCAGTTCTGGTTACATTTAAGAAAAAATTTCAAGAAGAACCTGTTGGAAAAAAGATAATTTGTTTAGTATATTCACTCAATATTTGTTTTGCTTAATTGCTTATATATATTCAGTGTATGCATCTTTAAACACATTCTTGGAACTCGAGGCAGATGGCAAAGAAACAGGAGAAACAGGCAATCCATCCCATAGGTGTCTCTTTGCTGGAATTTGCAGGGACAGGCAGTTTTACATTATGAAGTTCCATCCAATTTCATTTATAATTAGGTATGACAAAATAATCCATTTTCACTGCCACAAAACACTCTAACTTTCACAAAGGGCGCACTTCTATACCAATACCAATACCATGCCAATAAAGCAGTTTGAAAGCAGTGTGATCATTTTCTTTTCTTCAAAATTCAAAATACTAAAAACACATGGGGAACAGCAAGAACCAATTAATATCCACCTTCAACTGACCAATAGGATAGGGCCATTTAATATCATCCAATCGTGTTCCTGTCTCGCAAACTTTCATAGAAACTTTCATAGAACAAAAAAATGCCTTTCACCCCAATTCCATTTCTACAACCAGGCACTCTTCCCAGTTTTTCCAATCCTGACTGCCTGTTTTCTACAACAGCTTGAAGGGGGAAGAGAAATACATTCTCAACCATGCCTATACACAAGAGCAAAATGCTGAAGTTGCAGGATAAGAAATTGCCTGCAAAATCCATAGGGCTATACAGTGGTGGGATTCAAAATTTTTTACTACCCCTACTGTGGCTTGGTGGGCATGGCACGGGAAGGATACTATAAAATCTCCATTCACACCCCATTCCAGGGGAAGGTTACTGCAAAATCCCCATTTCCTCCCGATCAGCTGGGACTCAGGAGGCAGAGAATAGATGGGGCAGGGCCAGTCAGAGGTGGTAATTACCGGTTCTCCGAACTACTCAAAATTTCCACTACCGGTTCTCCAGAACTTATCAGAACCTGCTGAATACCACATCTGGGACTATAGCAGTAACAAACCAAAAATCAGCTTTGTTTTGCTTTCAGACAAAGTGGTATCAAACAGGAAAACAATACAACCCAACTCTTGAGCCTGGATGACAATGTGGGAATACTGGGGTTCAGAGCTAAATTGATAAAAAGAACCTTATCGATGCACTTAAATTCTAACTTCTATTATCTGGCCAAGTAGGAGAAGTAAGGTAGGGAATGTAATTGAAGCTGACTGGGAGGACTTCATCTTTGGATAAATGAGTACATATCCCATGTATTACCAAAGCAACAAGTGCGGGGGGGGGGGTGTTGAATTGTGTATAATATGATACACAAGAGCAAGAAATTCCACCATATATTGTGGCCCTTTTAAGAAAAGAAAATATGGGTCCCATATTATAGGCTGGATAAAAAGGTGGCATCTATGCCCTAAGCATCACACTTAGAATAAAGAAAATAAATCAATATGTAGAAATCACTGAGGATAGCAAGAAAAGAGATGCCAAATAAATTCTGGGTGTGGCAAGGAGTGGGGAAATACTCTTAAATATCTACAGTATATTAAGTATACAGTATGTATTCTTTCCAAGAGCTCAGACAAACAAAAGCTGAAAAAAAGCCAACTATTATGAAGCTCTCACATGGCAAGTTTTCTTTTAATTAGGGCTGTCATTACATTAAAGGTTGCAGTCAATTAGTTGTGTTACTTTTAACCTATTAATCAATCAACTGACTATTTAAAAGACATACTGCAGTTTGCATTGTCTCAATAAAGAGTGTATTCTCGGAGTTGTCATTGAACCTAACAGAAATTTTGAATCTTTCTATGTGCCAAAACTAGCAGATTGTTTTCGATACGGACTACCCTATTCAACATTCTAAATGAAAGTGCTTTTAAAAACTGAACTTTGGATTTACTGTCTTAATCAGGAAGGTTGATGTTCAATAGAGTTGGGATAGAAACAGAGCATATACTTTAGAAGTTCCTTCCAAAAGAGAGCTAGTTAGCTGTTTTTGTGGCTGATTTTAAGATGACTTTAAAAACAAAGCCATTGTGTTTCACTTCTTAACTGAAAAAAACATTATAGAATCTACTGCGGTTAGCAATATCAATCTATATTTTATTGCAACTGGTTTATTTTGGAATTTTTGTTTAAAGATACTGTACTTCTTTAAACTTTACTTTTGTATAAAGCATGAGTTAAATTATTTGGTAAAAGCTGAATGTGTGCCTGTGTGAGCACACACATATCAATAAAAATAATGATTTATAAATAAAATATTTTTCCAAAGCTGTTAAATCAAGCTGAATCAAAATTCTTATCAAAACTTGCATGATGAACATTTAAGAAAATCAGCTGTGGTCTTCAAACTAAAATAAGGACGTGAAAATAAATATATTTATCTTTGTTCTTGGAAACAGCAAATGTTTAAATGAACAATACTTTTTAAGTTCTTGACTCTAAAAATCACTGAAATCATTTTATAACCCATATTTCTTCAGAAACAGAAGACATATTTTACCAAAGAGATAAACAATAGGAAATGTCTTCCTCAATGTTCTGCATTAATAAACCATAAAAACAAAAACTTGAAGAAAATTGGCCTCACATTTTGGACATTTTCCATAAAAGTAAAAAACAAAGAGATATATCAAACTTATTTTTATTTTTTTAGAAATAAGTTAAACCATATCAAAAAAAATATCGCCATAAATAGGAAAGGTCATGACATATTTGGAATAATTGTTGATTCAGAAATGTACAACCAATTTACTTTGGGCACAATTTGTCAGGAATGTCTTGTGCAAGACATAAATGCTATTGAAATAAATATGAAGTTAACAATATGTGTTCGGCTCTCAAACTGGTCTCATTCATAAAAAAATAGACCAACTATGAAGAAGTTTCTCATTTGTTTTGCCTCTTATCGTAAATCTATAGCGACAACAAAAGAATTTTAGGGAAAATAATAACATGCCATCCTAATCCTTTATATGACTATTATTCATCTTCCACAGCAGGGGTCTCCAACCCCCATGACCTATTCTGAACTGGGCTGTGCAAGTGGTGGTCCCGCAAGCACTCATGTGCATGCAGCATGACTTGCACAACATGCACATGCAGCTCAACTTGTGCAAGTCAAGATGCATGCACGTGTGCATGTGCGCCAGCCTGCCACTCATGTGGCCAGTCTGGAGGGTGGGGAGAGGGAAACTGGGCCACATGACTGGCCCCCCAGACAGGCCACCATAGCCACAAAGGTTGGGGACCACTGTTCCAGTGGATAGACTGTTCAAATATGTTTTTAAATTATAATTAGAAAATGATGATATCCTTCCGAGGTGGGTAAAATGAGGACCCAAATTGTTGGGGGCAATATGCTGACTCTGTAAACTGCTTAGAGAGGGCTGTAAAGCACTATGAAACGGTATACAAGTCTAAGTGCTATTGCTATTGCTAAATATGTTGAAAGGGCATGAAATACAAAACAAAACTCTAAGATGGCTCAGACACTCCATCCCGTTTATTTGTTATGAGTTTTGTCTACCTCCTGAAATCAAAAGGACTCTAGGTAGCTTACAACTGACATAAAGAATACAGTACATACCAATATAATAAGTAAAAGAATAATCAAATTTAGCTCTCAATTTAAATTAAATATTAAAATAAGGAGGTAATATTTACTGAATATGGCACCAGTTGTTATAATTAAAACCCAAAGAAGTCATGTTTTCATCTTCTTCTGGAAGGCCAGCTGGAGAAGCAGAGGCAATTTCCATATTATTTCCCAGAATAATAGAATAGGAATGTGTCTACCACATGGGTGGGAGTTGAGCTAAGGGAGATATATTTTTCCCATTACACCCATTTAATATAATTTTAATAGCAACAGCAATAGTACTTAGATTTATATACTGCTTCATAGTGCTTTATATCCCTCTCTAAACTGTTTACACAGTCAGCATATTGCCCCCAACAATCTAAAAGAATAGGATTATTCTTTTACTTATTATATTGGTATGTACTGTATTCTTTATGTCATTTTACCAACCTTGGAAAGATGGCAGGCTGAGTCAACTTTGAGGCTGGTGAGATTCAATCTGCCATACTGCTGGCAGCTTGTGATCAGCAGAAGTAGCCTGCAGTACTGCACTCTAACCACTGCACCACCGCGGGTCATATAATATATCATATTATATTATTATAATATAATATCAGAAAACAGTTGACATTGTGCAAAGAGAAATCAAGTAACCGTCTCTGAATTGAACTTTTTAAAAAAGTATGATGTCTGTATTCATGCAATATAGTCAGCTGAATAGGGATTAGAAAAGCTTTGTTTCCTCCCGCCTTTTTTTTTTAAAGGTGTGTTACTACTTGTCCCATCAAGCAAAATATGGCCATCGTTAGTTGTAATCTGGCATGAGTTAACTATTGGGGTGGCTGTCTATGGTGGGGGAAGAGCTTTCTCTCCTGGCCAGCTGCGGGAGGCTTGACTCTGAATGTGTGGAAAGAACTGTCAGCACAAATCCTGGCATCTAAAGTCCAGACAACTGCTTGCCACCAAGCGGTGGTCTGTACTGGTGCCAAAACGGATTTGGGAAGATAAGCAAATAGGACATTAATTCTGCCAAACAAAAAATTCGAAAGGGAGAAGCAAAGAGATTTGTATGTTGAGGATAAGCACTTGATGGCTCTCCTGTCAACAGTCCATCATTTAGCTCGCCAACTATGAAGGGCATGGACATTAGATCCCTTTTGCCCTAAACTGGCCCTGCCGTGTGGAATGCAGGCAAAATCCTGAGATCCCTCTGCTGCTTGCTGACATGGAAAGCTTGACCATCTGTCAGGAGGCAAAGATGTCCCTGTCAACTGATGCCTGCCCAGAGCCTCTGACAGGCCCTTATGAGGCAAAGTCTCTCAGAAGCCCTTGTTCTTTGGGGAAAAGGCTGCTTTGCCCCAGAGATTTGCTGGAGGATTCTTCAGAGTTTTCCAAAATGTAGAAGCCAAGCAGCTGACCATTTTGGCCTGCCCTTCCCAAAAGGA